GGGGGGGCAGGGAAAAGGCAGGAAACAGAAGGGAGAGGATGAAACAGAAAAGATGGGCAACAGAGGGAGGGGGAACAAGAGAGAGCTCAAGAATGGGGAGGGAGGAGGAGAACCGGGCAGACAGGCGGCGAGAAGAGGAGGCTGGGAGAGACCGCCCAGGACCGAAAGAGAAAGGGCCACAGACAACAGAGGAGGAGGGAGAGGCCGGGCGAGCACCCAGGCCTGAGGCCCGGCACCCACCCCTCCCTCCAGCCGCTGAGCCAGGTGTCCCGCACCCCAGCCGGGGCCTGCCTGCCACCGGCCTTGAGCACAGGTGGGCCAAGCCCTCGCAGGTGTCCCCTGGAAGACGGGGGCCGCCTCTCTGCTCCAGAAGGACAGGAAGAGTGCAGAACAGCCTGCCGGGGCCGGGCTCTGTCCCTGAAGCCGGCGCCCGTGCCTTTCTGGTCACTGTGAGGCTTCTAGTGCTGGCCTGAGGCTGACAAGACCCACGAGAGGGCCGGGGGTCTGGGGTGACCCCCCCATAAGGAGCCGTGGAGCCCTCACACCCTGGAGGCCAGCGGGCCCCCCCCCACCCCGGCCCCAGACCCACCTTTGTCGCTGTCGGCGTCTGAATCACTGAGTGGCTTCAGGGGCGAGTGCAGGTCTTGGAAGTAGCGGTGGCCGGCCTCGCACTGCCACACGGCTGTGGTGTACAGGCCGAAGGTGGGGTCCAGCTCGGCCAGGTGCGGCTCGTACGGGCAGCGGTGCTTGTGGTCCTCGTACCAGATCACCACGTTCTTCAGACAGTTCACGTTGCGTCGCCTCCCTGCGCACGCGTGGCAGGGCCCCGGGGTCAGGGGTGGCGCTTGTCCCTCCGAGGGCCTCGGAACACCCCGGCCTTACGGCACCCGGTGGGGGCGGGGCTGAGACACCTTCCCGAGCCCTGTCCGGGCCCGTCCCCGGTTCACAGATGGAGAAACGGGCTCCGGGAGGTGCCACACACCCTGCTGATAACAGAGGCGGGCCAGGCTGTCCTCACTGAATAAGCGAAATCACATAAACGATGGAGCCTGGCACGTAGTAGGTGCACAGTAATTATTAGCTGCCTGTTGTT